TGCGTCATTGACACGGTGCAGGCTGCTGCCTACCTGGGCCAGGCAGTGGTCTTCCTCTACAAGGCGATTGAGTACGACGGCCTGGAGTGCCCGGACAATACTCCGGTGGGCTGCGCGGTGAGCGTCGCTGGCTTCATCACGTCCATCACCTGGATCGCATCGTACCTGTCCTTTGCCGCCAACGCTTGCGGGGCCGCCGTGAACTCTGGTGCCTTGTGCGCGGGCGACTGGACGGCACTGATGGCCAACTTCGGCGAGATGGCCACGGTGGGCGCTGCTGTAAAGGACGACTGCGACTTCAGCACCGACTGGGGCTCCATCCTGAACCTCACTGACTCCTCAGGCCCACCGCCGCCCATCTGGCAGCAGTTCGTGCCTGCCGGGGCCGCTCCCACCGTGGAGACCTACCAGAAGGTAAAGGCACTCCGGGAATCGAACACCAACCGCAACATGGACATCACGCAGTGCGTCATGGATGTGACCAACTCGGCCTCTTACGTGGTCCGGGCCATCTTGCAGATTCGCTCCGCCACATCAGCTTGCCCTGACCCCAAGGCGTGTGCCATCAACATCATGAATATTATTTCCAGTTTTGCTTGGATCTCACAGTTCACGGCCCTGGCTGTGTCAGACTGCCCGGAGGGGGGCAACCAGAAGGCCCTGTGCACTGCGGACATCTCGGACATGGTCGCGGCAGTGACCAACGGCCCCGCTGCCGGCATCGCTTCCACCTCGGACTGCGCTGATGTGCCGGATCCGGTGGAGGAGGAGAAGCATCTGCCCATGGACTGATCAAGTCACCTGAGACGTGCAGGAATCGCCGGCCTCACGGGCTTGGCGCAAATTCGGGTCTTGCTTCTGTTGGTTGGAGACCACCTTTTTTTGCATTGACCCCTTGACCGCAGCGGCTTTAGGTGTGTACATGCCTTTATTGCCTGCTCAAAGGCAGCTGCGGCTGGGGGTTCTGGCAGATGCAACATACATCTGTCTTAAAGTGCTGTGCTTGCTGGGAAGCTGATCCATGCTGATGCCTGGTGTTTTCCATATCCACAAACGCCCTATGGGCAAATGTGGCCAGGTCTTTCTTTGCTGTGTTTGGTCTTGATTGATGTGTGGTATCATCCGGCTCGTAATGATTGCAAGTACTTTCAAGCTTCCGAGAGGGTCTGCACAGAATTTGTGTTGTCTGGCCTGAATGGAACGTTGACGGCTTGCCTTGACCTGCTTTGTCAGAAAAGGATTGAGGATTGGAGTCAGAGCTGTCATGAGGGGCTGAATCGAGACTTGAGATGAGGCACACGCTGTAAGATCTAGGAGTTTAGAACATGTAATACTTGACATGATCCGAAACGTAGAACCTTGGATTGGAGTCCGCTGAGCATGTTGGGATTGACACCTTGCCGCACTGATGCCTGCCTGATGCGAGATGTTTGGCGAAGCTTGGCTCAGTGAGTTCTAGAAGTCCGGTGCTTTGCACGACATCGCCATGGCAATGGAGTTGGAAGACACCCAAGAGCTCTTGACAGAGCAACCGGCCAAGGTCAAGTCCTCCCGGTGGTACGTGCTGGCTGGGGTGGTGGCCGTGGTGTTCGTGGGCTGTGTGGCGCTTGTCTCTGCCTCACGCAGCCGCGCGCAGACCTTGGCAAGCAAGAAGGACTTGATCCAGAACTGGGAGGAGATCCCTGGGATCGACAGGGTCGTCAAGAAGGCAGAGAATTTGGAGCTGAAGCAGCCCCTGCGCAACCTGAACGACCTCTTCTACTCCTCCCAGCCGGAGGAGCTGCCGTGGATCCGGACGGAGTGCGTCATTGACACGGTGCAGGCTGCTGCCTACCTGGGCCAGGCAGTGGTCTTCCTCTACAAGGCGATTGAGTACGACGGCCTGGAGTGCCCGGACAATACTCCGGTGGGCTGCGCGGTGAGCGTCGCTGGCTTCATCACGTCCATCACCTGGATCGCATCGTACCTGTCCTTTGCCGCCAACGCTTGCGGGGCCGCCGTGAACTCTGGTGCCTTGTGCGCGGGCGACTGGACCGCACTGATGGCCAACTTCGGCGAGATGGCCACGGTGGGCGCTGCTGTAAAGGACGACTGCGACTTCAGCACCGACTGGGGCTCCATCCTGAACCTCACTGACTCCTCAGGCCCACCGCCGCCCATCTGGCAGCAGTTCGTGCCTGCCGGGGCCGCTCCCACCGTTGAGACCTACCAGAAGGTGAAGGCACTCCGGGAATCGAACACCAACCGCAACATGGACATCACGCAGTGCGTCATGGATGTGACCAACTCGGCCTCTTACGTGGTCCGGGCCATCTTGCAGATTCGCTCCGCCACATCAGCTTGCCCTGACCCCAAGGCGTGTGCCATCAACATCATGAATATTATTTCCAGTTTTGCTTGGATCTCACAGTTCACGGCCCTGGCTGTGTCAGACTGCCCGGAGGGGGGCAACCAGAAGGCCCTGTGCACTGCGGACATCTCGGACATGGTCGCGGCAGTGACCAACGGCCCCGCTGCCGGCATCGCTTCCACCTCGGACTGCGCTGATGTGCCGGATCCGGTGGAGGAGGAGAAGCATCTGCCCATGGACTGATCAAGTCACCTGAGACGTGCAGGAATCGCCGGCCTCACGGGCTTGGCGCAAATTCGGGTCTTGCTTCTGTTGGTTGGAGACCACTTTGTTTTGCATTGACCCCTTGACCGCAGCCATTTTAGGTGTGTACATGCCTTTATTGCCTGCTCAAAGGCAGCTGCGGCTGGGGGTTCTGGCAGATGCAACATACATCTGTCTTAAAGTGCTGTGCTTGCTGGGAAGCTGATCCATGCTGATGCCTGGTGTTTTCCATATCCACAAACGCCCTATGGGCAAATGTGGCCAGGTCTTTCTTTGCTGTGTTTGGTCTTGATTGATGTGTGGTATCATCCCGCTCGAAATGATTGCAAGTACTTTCAAGCTTCCAAGAGGGTCTGCACAGAATTTGTGTTGTCTGGCCTGAATGGAACGTTGACGGCTTGCCTTGACCTGCTTTGTCAGAAAAGACCTGTCATGAGGGTCTGAATCGAGACTTGAGATGAGGCACACGCTGTAAGATCTAGGAGTTTAGAACATGTAATACTTGACATGATCCGAAACGTAGAACCTTGCGATTGGAGTCCGCTGAGCATGTTGGGAGGGATTGACACCTTGCCGCACTGATGCCTGCCTGATGCGAGATGTTTGGCGAAGCTTGGCTCAGTGAGTTCTAGAAGTCCGGTGCTTTGCACGACATCGCCATGGCAATGGAGTTGGAAGACACCCAAGAGCTCTTGACAGAGCAACCGGCCAAGGTCAAGTCCTCCCGGTGGTACGTGCTGGCTGGGGTGGTGGCCGTGGTGTTCGTGGGCTGTGTGGCGCTTGTCTCTGCCTCACGCAGCCGCGCGCAGACCTTGGCAAGCAAGAAGGACTTGATCCAGAACTGGGAGGAGATCCCTGGGATCGACAGGGTCGTCAAGAAGGCAGAGAATTTGGAGCTGAAGCAGCCCCTGCGCAACCTGAACGACCTCTTCTACTCCTCCCAGCCGGAGGAGCTGCCGTGGATCCGGACGGAGTGCGTCATTGACACGGTGCAGGCTGCTGCCTACCTGGGCCAGGCAGTGGTCTTCCTCTACAAGGCGATTGAGTACGACGGCCTGGAGTGCCCGGACAATACTCCGGTGGGCTGCGCGGTGAGCGTCGCTGGCTTCATCACGTCCATCACCTGGATCGCATCGTACCTGTCCTTTGCCGCCAACGCTTGCGGGGCCGCCGTGAACTCTGGTGCCTTGTGCGCGGGCGACTGGACCGCCCTGATGGCCAACTTCGGCGAGATGGCCACGGTGGGCGCTGCTGTGAAGGACGACTGCGACTTCAGCACCGACTGGGGCTCCATCCTGAACCTCACTGACTCCTCAGGCCCACCACCGCCCATCTGGCAGCAGTTCGTGCCTTCCGGGGCCGCTCCCACCGTTGAGACCTACCAGAAGGTGAAGGCACTCCGGGAATCGAACACCAACCGCAACATGGACATCACGCAGTGCGTCATGGATGTGACCAACTCGGCCTCTTACGTGGTCCGGGCCATCTTGCAGATTCGCTCCGCCACATCAGCTTGCCCTGACCCCAAGGCGTGTGCCATCAACATCATGAATATTATTTCCAGTTTTGCTTGGATCTCACAGTTCACGGCCCTGGCTGTGTCAGACTGCCCGGAGGGGGGCAACCAGAAGGCCCTGTGCACTGCGGACATCTCGGACATGGTCGCGGCAGTGACCAACGGCCCCGCTGCCGGCATCGCTTCCACCTCGGACTGCGCTGATGTGCCGGATCCGGTGGAGGAGGAGAAGCATCTGCCCATGGACTGATCAAGTCACCTGAGACGTGCAGGAATCGCCGGCCTCACGGGCTTGGCGCAAATTCGGGTCTTGCTTCTGTTGGTTGGAGACCACCTTTTTTTGCATTGACCCCTTGACCGCAGCGGCTTTAGGTGTGTACATGCCTTTATTGCCTGCTCAAAGGCAGCTGCGGCTGGGGGTTCTGGCAGATGCAACATACATCTGTCTTAAAGTGCTGTGCTTGCTGGGAAGCTGATCCATGCTGATGCCTGGTGTTTTCCATATCCACAAACGCCCTATGGGCAAATGTGGCCAGGTCTTTCTTTGCTGTGTTTGGTCTTGATTGATGTGTGGTATCATCCGGCTCGTAATGATTGCAAGTACTTTCAAGCTTCCGAGAGGGTCTGCACAGAATTTGTGTTGTCTGGCCTGAATGGAACGTTGACGGCTTGCCTTGACCTGCTTTGTCAGAAAAGGATTGAGGATTGGAGTCAGAGCTGTCATGAGGGGCTGAATCGAGACTTGAGATGAGGCACACGCTGTAAGATCTAGGAGTTTAGAACATGTAATACTTGACATGATCCGAAACGTAGAACCTTGGATTGGAGTCCGCTGAGCATGTTGGGAGGGATTGACACCTTGCCGCACTGATGCCTGCCTGATGCGAGATGTTTGGCGAAGCTTGGCTCAGTGAGTTCTAGAAGTCCGGTGCTTTGCACGACATCGCCATGGCAATGGAGTTGGAAGACACCCAAGAGCTCTTGACAGAGCAACCGGCCAAGGTCAAGTCCTCCCGGTGGTACGTGCTGGCTGGGGTGGTGGCCGTGGTGTTCGTGGGCTGTGTGGCGCTTGTCTCTGCCTCACGCAGCCGCGCGCAGACCTTGGCAGCAAGAAGGACTTGATCCAGAACTGGGAGGAGATCCCTGGGATCGACAGGGTCGTCAAGAAGGCAGAGAATTTGGAGCTGAAGCAGCCCCTGCGCAACCTGAACGACCTCTTCTACTCCTCCCAGCCGGAGGAGCTGCCGTGGATCCGGACGGAGTGCGTCATTGACACGGTGCAGGCTGCTGCCTACCTGGGCCAGGCAGTGGTCTTCCTCTACAAGGCGATTGAGTACGACGGCCTGGAGTGCCCGGACAATACTCCGGTGGGCTGCGCGGTGAGCGTCGCTGGCTTCATCACGTCCATCACCTGGATCGCATCGTACCTGTCCTTTGCCGCCAACGCTTGCGGGGCCGCCGTGAACTCTGGTGCCTTGTGCGCGGGCGACTGGACGGCACTGATGGCCAACTTCGGCGAGATGGCCACGGTGGGCGCTGCTGTAAAGGACGACTGCGACTTCAGCACCGACTGGGGCTCCATCCTGAACCTCACTGACTCCTCAGGCCCACCGCCGCCCATCTGGCAGCAGTTCGTGCCTGCCGGGGCCGCTCCCACCGTTGAGACCTACCAGAAGGTAAAGGCACTCCGGGAATCGAACACCAACCGCAACATGGACATCACGCAGTGCGTCATGGATGTGACCAACTCGGCCTCTTACGTGGTCCGGGCCATCTTGCAGATTCGCTCCGCCACATCAGCTTGCCCTGACCCCAAGGCGTGTGCCATCAACATCATGAATATTATTTCCAGTTTTGCTTGGATCTCACAGTTCACGGCCCTGGCTGTGTCAGACTGCCCGGAGGGGGGCAACCAGAAGGCCCTGTGCACTGCGGACATCTCGGACATGGTCGCGGCAGTGACCAACGGCCCCGCTGCCGGCATCGCTTCCACCTCGGACTGCGCTGATGTGCCGGATCCGGTGGAGGAGGAGAAGCATCTGCCCATGGACTGATCAAGTCACCTGAGACGTGCAGGAATCGCCGGCCTCACGGGCTTCGGCTTGGCGCAAATTCGGGTCTTGCTTCTGTTGGTTGGAGACCACCTTTTTTTGCATTGACCCCTTGACCGCAGCGGTTTTAGGTGTGTACATGCCTTTATTGCCTGTTCAAAGGCAGCTGCGGCTGGGGGTTCTGGCAGATGCAACATACATCTGTCTTAAAGTGCTGTGCTTGCTGGGAAGCTGATCCATGCTGATGCCTGGTGTTTTCCATATCCACAAACGCCCTGTGGGCAAATGTGGCCAGGTCTTTCTTTGCTATGTTTGGTCTTGATTGATGCGTGGTATCATCCCGCTCGTAATGATTGCAAGTACTTTCAAGCTTCCAAGAGGGCCCCCACAGAAGGTGTTGTCTGGCCTGAATGGAACGCTGCCCGCTTGCCTTGACCTGCTTTGTCAGAAAAGGATTGAGGATTGGAGTCAGAGCTGTCATGAGGGTCTGAATCGAGACTTGAGATGAGGCACACGCTGTAAGATCTAGGAGTTTAGAACATGTAATACTTGACATGATCCGAAACGTAGAACCTTGCGATTGGAGTCCGCTGAGCATGTTGGGAGGGATTGACACCTTGCCGCACTGATGCCTGCCTGATGCGAGATGTTTGGCGAAGCTTGGCTCAGTGAGTTCTAGAAGTCCGGTGCTTTGCACGACATTGCCATGGCAATGGAGTTGGAAGACACCCAAGAGCTCTTGACAGAGCAACCGGCCAAGGTCAAGTCCTCCCGGTGGTACGTGCTGGCTGGGGTGGTGGCCGTGGTGTTCGTGGGCTGTGTGGCGCTTGTCTCTGCCTCACGCAGCCGCGCGCAGACCTTGGCAAGCAAGAAGGACTTGATCCAGAACTGGGAGGAGATCCCTGGGATCGACAGGGTCGTCAAGAAGGCAGAGAATTTGGAGCTGAAGCAGCCCCTGCGCAACCTGAACGACCTCTTCTACTCCTCCCAGCCGGAGGAGCTGCCGTGGATCCGGACGGAGTGCGTCATTGACACGGTGCAGGCTGCTGCCTACCTGGGCCAGGCAGTGGTCTTCCTCTACAAGGCGATTGAGTACGACGGCCTGGAGTGCCCGGACAATACTCCGGTGGGCTGCGCGGTGAGCGTCGCTGGCTTCATCACGTCCATCACCTGGATCGCATCGTACCTGTCCTTTGCCGCCAACGCTTGCGGGGCCGCCGTGAACTCTGGTGCCTTGTGCGCGGGCGACTGGACCGCCCTGATGGCCAACTTCGGCGAGATGGCCACGGTGGGCGCTGCTGTAAAGGACGACTGCGACTTCAGCACCGACTGGGGCTCCATCCTGAACCTCACTGACTCCTCAGGCCCACCGCCGCCCATCTGGCAACAGTTCGTGCCTGCCGGGGCCGCTCCCACCGTTGAGACCTACCAGAAGGTGAAGGCACTCCGGGAATCGAACACCAACCGCAACATGGACATCACGCAGTGCGTCATGGATGTGACCAACTCGGCCTCTTACGTGGTCCGGGCCATCTTGCAGATTCGCTCCGCCACATCAGCTTGCCCTGACCCCAAGGCGTGTGCCATCAACATCATGAATATTATTTCCAGTTTTGCTTGGATCTCACAGTTCACGGCCCTGGCTGTGTCAGACTGCCCGGAGGGGGGCAACCAGAAGGCCCTGTGCACTGCGGACATCTCGGACATGGTCGCGGCAGTGACCAACGGCCCCGCTGCCGGCATCGCTTCCACCTCGGACTGCGCTGATGTGCCGGATCCGGTGGAGGAGGAGAAGCATCTGCCCATGGACTGATCAAGTCACCCGAAACGCCCTGGTTGGAGACCGCCTTTTCCAGGGTTCCGATGAAACTACTGACAGCAATCGGTATTGGACCCTTTCCTTATCTTTCATGGTTCTTTCGGGTCGAATGTCCACGCTCGAATCTTTGGAACCCTGGTCCCATTGACCTGAGACCGCCGGCATGGCAGATGCAGTACACTGTCTTGAACTGAAGCCACTGCTTCCTTGTAATTCGATGCATGCGGACGCCGGCCGGTAATCTTAGCTTGGAGGACCCTAGTCAGACGACTCAAGGAGAACACCTGATTAGTACGGTCTTCTGGATGGCTCTGCATGCATGCCCGGGCAAATTCCCTGGGTAGTTTGTATCTTACACTACGCATCTTGCAAGAGAGGCCATTTTAATCAATGTGTTATTTGCCTTCACTTGTAGGCCGTTCGGCGTGCGGGAGGAAAAGACCGGCAACTGTGGCTCCGAAACGCTTTGTATAGGGCAGATGAATGCGAAGCAGATTCTGAGCAACGTTCAAAACCCATTTGTGTGCCCCATGTTTTATGGTTGCCCAGTTTTCAGCTCTCGATGGAACACCCGGTCTCAGCCATTTTCATCTGCAGGAGCGAACCCAGCTGGCGGCCGAGAGCTTTGCTCTCGCGAATGTGGCTTGGACACGACGGAAGATCAAGTCTTGAAAAGGTCATGGAAAGGGAGTCTCCTTTGCGGGTCATGCCATCGGAATTGTGGGGACTTTTCGCAAAGGGACGCTGGCCCCCATTTTGTCTCAGATTCGGTCCACATGTCCAGTAGTCTACGGTCCATGGAGAAACATAGGGATGAGAACGCCACTAAATCTCCCGCAAATCCTCATATTCCCATGTTCCAAGAGGGGGACGAGCGGGCCCTTCCAGTTCCAGTTTCATGTTCCATTGCGAATCTTGAGTTGGAGCCGCCTCAAAAGTGGTTGGTGGACATGAATCCCCACCAACATGATATCAATGATATCCACCAAAGGGCCTTATTAAAATTCACCCTGCAAAGGGAAATCATGGGAGGGAAGGCCCCCACTTTGACTTTCGGTGTCTGCCTTTTGGCATCTTTTCGGTTGGTAACTTTGGGGTGGGGTTTTTATGGGACCAAGGAGACTGCGAACAGTTTTTCTTCTTCTTCTTCTTCTTTTCTTGTCTTTATCCCTCGGCTTTTGGGAGGGATGAGACGCAGAAGGATGGATGGGTTTGCGGTTCTGCATGAGTCACTGAATGAGAATGGCATGTCCAGTGAGACAAATCCATGTTGCAGGACGAAAGCCCTGATCAACCAGCAATCCCACATGGATTTGGTCTCACGGGCCAGCTGGGCCTCCAGTCGTAGGTTAGTAACACGTTTGATCCCTGCGGCCAAGGAGTGTTTGCAAAGGGCATGGGTCCCGTCCATTCTTCGCCCCTTTTGGGTCTGAGACGGTTCTGGTCAATGGTTTGCCTGTTTGCCAGGTGAGGTTGCCAAAGGTCCGAAGGTTTTAGGGTTGGATTCCAGATTGACCCCTCCCTTCCACTAACACCAGACAAGGGGTTACATATTTCAGGAAATTTATCTTCCACTTTCCCTCCCAGAGATGCCAAGGACAGTGGTTGTTGTGTGTCCAAAAAATTACTTTCACTCAAAATTTGTTGTAGGGAAGTTCTTGCGCCGTTCAAGCAGAGGCAGGCAACGGCGCTCGGGGCCAGAGCCGAACTCAGATCTTTGCGAGGGGAGTGGCGCACCTATTTGGGTGTTTCATGCGATCTTCACGGTTCTTTTGGTTTGTTTTACATTTGTTTGTTCCGTCCATTTTTAGGGGGGGCTGCAAAACACGTTTTGTGCGACCATACCGAGATGTGAGATTGAATTTGGCGGTTTCCCTTTCAAACCACGACCCAAATTGTCCAAAACCTGTGGTTTCCCTCAAAACGGGTCGGCGTCTCACCAAACAGACTCGACCAAGTCCAGGTGGGTTTGCCTTTGTGCGGGTTTCGGTTCTTTGAAATCCGAAAAAAGGGTCGATCGTGAGTGACAGTTCCAGCTCTATGTCCTCAAGCTTCAAACATCAGCTTTTGAAGCCCCTTCCAAGTGAGACTTTGCCACTTGATATTTGTGGCTCTCAAGTCTTGGGAACGCATCCATGCTACAGACCATTGGATGCTGCCCTTTTTCGCGCTTGCTGCACCGGTTTTTGCTGCCTGTTTGCCTGGAATCACCGGTCCGGTGCGGCATCACGTGTTGGTGGCCGAAAAAAGAAAAAGAAAGTTGCCCACTACGTGTCCCCAGTGTCAGCTGCCCAGCTGGCCTCAAAGGATCCTTGTCCCGCAACAAACTCTGATTGGGTATGGGTCAAAATTAAACCACCAGGGGACCGCAGGTTTTGGTCCATGTTTCCACCTGCCAGGGTTCCATTTTGGGTACATATTGTTGACCCACAGCCAATTGGTGCTTTGGATTTGGATTTGAACGGGTCCCTGGTTCTTGTAGAGGGTCAATGGGACCCCTCCTTCGCCACCAAGCCACCGATTCGGCTCCAAACCAGCCTTTTTGAGGGAAGCTGACTTGCGTGGGATCCAAAGTGGAGCCCCGGAACGCCCCGGTTTGGTCCCTGCAACGAACTGCACGAAGCCGTGAGAGAGGATGGGCGAAAGGGGCGATGTTCGGTGGCCTGAAGCTTACAGATACGGGCGAAATCCGTTCGCAAAGCCGAGATGAAACGGTCCCCAAAGGGGTTTTTCCTGGTGGTTGGACCATGACGTTTGTTGGTATTTGCAGCAGAAAGTCGACTCATTTCCGAAGGGTTTCCCAGATGAATCAGATCCCGAGGCGGCCCCGGACTCGGCGCGGCCGGGAGGCCGGGTCTCGTCGAAGAACTGGGAAAGCAGAAAGCTCAAACGAAGATCCCGTGGATGTGTCCAGCTTGTGTTTTGAGGCCCAATTTTTTAAAGGAAAGCCCACAGAAGCCTAAAAGAAGACATACCCATTGGAGCAGGCGGCTCAGTTGAGTTGCGGGATGCTGATTCGGGTCCAAGCGAAACTTGGATGCCTTTGTTCAGGCTTTGGAGATACACAATTGCAGATAGTCTGGGCCTGTCTTTCTTCAGTAGGGGACCCCCAAAATGGATTTCGGCTTTCCTGTTGGTTTCCCTTTGCAAAGCAGGGGTCCCGAGGTTCAAAAAAGACGCATAC